TGGGGAACGCCCCAAATTCAAACTTAGTATGGATTTGGGTACATTCACCTCTATTTCCCAGGCAGGAATTTTCGCCATACTTCATTGTGCGGAAATCAGTCTGCAAAAACAACCATAACTATTAACCATATAATCTATATTAACTGTGATAGTCAAGCAGCACTGCTAGCGCCGAGATCAAACTTGGTGAACTCGACGCTAGTTGGAGACTGCGTGAACCGTCTAAACGCCCTGGGAGGTAACAACAGGGTTCCAACAACATTCTAAGATGAGTTCCGGGTCACGCGGGTATTGTAGGCAAAGAAATTGCCGACAAGCTCACGCGGTAGGGCTCAAAGAGTACACAATTTGGACCCGAGCCTTTTTGTCGAATCTCAAAAAGTCTCACACGATTGACACTGGAAACTCTTTACCACAATAAATCACTTAAGATCTCGTCTGCTACACCAGGCTTAGAACATTCTAAAACCTTAATCCCGGCTTTCGATCCTCAATTCGCTTCGGTAGCCCTGGGATAGGGTAAAAATAAATTGCGCATTCTGTTAAGAGCCCTGACTGGACACTGTAGTCTTAAAAGGCACATGTCCATCCTGGGACTAATCAACATAAGGATGTGCCGGTTGTGCTCCCTAGAGGAAGAAAACCTTTACAAATCCTGACTAATTGCGGAGCCTTGATGCACAAAGGTAGCACTCATCTGGGAATATGTACTTCTCGCAGAAGAAGTGAAATTGCTCACAGCTAAGCAACTCCTTCTATTCATTGAGGACGTAGAGCTTAGCAGTGAACTATATACTTAGCAGCGATCACAATAGATCTTTTAGGTCGCAATGATACTGGTCTCTCTAGACCTGCATAGCTGCTCGTACATAATAAAAAAAATTCTGTCCTGCGCACATGGCTAGTCTCTGTTTGGGACTTGAGCCGCCTTGAGCGAAATTCGGTCTGGAGGACATTATTAATATTATTCTTATAGTACTCTTATAATATATTTACTAATGATACTTCATTGATTTTCAAATTTGAACGGAAATTGTTAAAATATGGCGAAGTGTTTTGTCAAAATTTGTAGATACACTAGTTTAATTTCAACAATTTGCTTTTGAACGATAATAAAACAAAATGTATTAAATACACAACACTCGATGTCTTACAAGTGAATGCCAGCTTGCTTTTAAATGGCTGAGTCTTGTTGAATCCAACATTTTTCTTGGAATTTCAGTTCAAGCGATGATCAATGGGTTGGACCTCCATATATGTATCTAAACTAGCTGGTAAACTTAGTTCTGTACCTATACTGTAAAAAGATTGCGAGGTTTACATGTGTTAAACCTCGCAATCTTTCTAGATTAGTTTACTTTAGTTCTTTCCATAGCATAATGTTGTATAGAATCGGGTATAATTGCATATTGGGTAATGTGACTGATGAAATTATCTTTGTTTTGCAGAAGAGAGAATTCTTCGATGTTTGAAGGAGTCTTTTAGAGAAAAAGTTAAAGAAATAATTATATTGATTTTGGCTTTACAGTATTTAAAAATAGATTGATTAAAAATAGTGAGCTACATTATGAAAATACTAGAAAAAAGGACAAACTACAAGTTATTTAATTGTAGAGTTAGTAATTAATTCATATTACAATACTTAGCGGTCAGCCACCGCAGTCTGCTTCACCTGAGGATGTCTCGTATCATATTATCGACGGTGGTGTGTCTTTCCTAGTGGTATTGGGAATAGTGGTACTGAGATTAGTGATGACTGGGATAGTGCACGCAATTAAGGGAGGGCGGGAGGTGCACTTCAAACTGGGTAACAGATCATTTTATTTTACTAACGAAGCTTAACAAATTAATTTTTAACAACTTTAACATATTAAATATTTTTTTTAGTTTTTTTTAAAACGTTACCCCCACACTAGGATTTTCTCCTGTGTCGTGGAGGCAGTTTACAAACATAAATTTCACAAGGACAAAAATCCAGACCCGGAACAATTATTTGTAGGCCATACAAATACTTGTTCCGTGCGGGATTCCAACCCGCGGCCCCCAGCGCAACAACTGATAGCTAAGCCACTGCGCCACGGAGCCGTGATGAGACTAGCATCGATTTTAAAAGGCAAAGGATCAAATAATAGCAATTTTAAAAGTCATTCTACTATTTACATTTAGTTCTTTGAAGTCTACTTGTATGAATTTTGGCAAAAATTTTCGATTAATATTGCACGGTAATATTTTTTTAATTCAAATTACATGCTATATATGCTTTGTATAGCAAACACACACACAAAACGATTGCGAGATATGATATTTTAAACGATTCAATTCTATAAACTTTATATAATTTTTGCTTTTTGTAATTAATATACTGTGCACTTATTAAGGTGTTTATTTTATTCATTTACAAAGAAAGCAATTGGAATATTTGAAAAATTATAAGTTATTATGGGATTCATTTGAATTTACACAATAGGTATAATATTTGTATGTGGATCTCTACGAAAATATGCTTCTTTATTAAAATCAGTAAAATTCATAATACATCAAAATTCAGTTAAACAAATAAATACTTACATATTTACTGTGTAATAAGGACATTGTAAATGGATACAGTGTTATGGTTGAGCCCTCCTTTTAAGTATTTAAAATACTTGTGCCAGATGGCCACACGCTAGCTACCATAGCCTTATGTACTATAAACTTATTACCAATAATTTATTTCTTCTTAAATAATGTGTATGTGTAACATAATTGCTACTATTATATTTCTTAAAACCATCACATTTCTTCTTTGAATCTACAATCTTTCAAACATTTAACTAGTCGTATGTTTTTAAAGTCAGGAACATTTTTCATGTGCTCAACAATGGAATTTACGTTACTTGATCTTAGTGTACATAATTTTTCACGCGTAATGTTTACAAAAAGAAAATAAAACAACGAAATCAAACAATTAGAAAAACATAATACGCAGTATTTTAATATCGCAGTACGATATCTAAAATTAATTCAACCCATTAAATTGACAGTTGCTCAATCCAGTGACCTCTGTATTATACAGAGTATTGGCACAGACATTTGGAATGTTAGCTCTTATCACAAATACGATACAAAATTACAAAAATAAATAAACAAGCGCTTCGCTATAAGCGTATATTTATAGAAGATTTTAAAAGATGTTGAAAGGTATATTTTCGTTATTTTTAACCTTTACGCATCCGCTGTTTCTTACATTAAATTGTAGTAACAAATATGTTAGACCTGTTTTATTGCAAAACATGGTTTATTGATAGTCTCTGGCTTAAGCTGTGGGTTAGGCAGTCTTTTTCATAAACAAGTCCCTTATTTAAGGCGTCACAATCTTCGCGAATATTGGCATTTGCTGTCAAATTCCATACTTTACATTTTAGTTAGCACATTTTTCGAGGGCCTTGTTTTTGAAATAGACTCTAGCTTAAAACTGAGACTAATATTTTTTTTGTTTAATTTTTGTTATAAAATATTAGCAATGCTATTAAAATTACTAATATTCCTTTAACCACTCCTGGTCAGCTTAAAATGCTTGTGGTAGGAGTGGTTCACGACAGTAGTCGAATGGTGGATTCGAACTCGCGACCTTTTGAGTTCACGGTCCATACCCTACCATTGGTCTACTGTCGATTCATTATAAATTATTTTTTATATTAGGCGGAAAATACTTAAGTGATGTTTCCATTTTAACATAGAACAATATTTATAAGTACCAGAATTTTAACACTGTTCGTTTGTTAGTAACAGGAGATTCACGTATTTTATATAAAAAGCTAATACGTATGTAATATTTATATAATAATAAAACTATAACAAATATTTAACAACTTTATCTGTAAAAATGCATTACGACTAATTGTGATGTTTTTCATTTTGTATCAATAATATCTACGATTCTTACCGTGACATTCAAAAGACAGCGATTATAATAATGAACCTCTATATCTTTTAGTTAATTCATTCTAATTATATATAAGTATGCTTTGCAATACATGGTTATAAAATTATTACAAATTGCAATATTTGGAAAGTACTTCACATGATATAGTATTAACCTTATTTTAATAATACCCAATCGTAAAGGAATTATTAAAGAATATATTATGTAATAAAGGCCAACTTATAACGATGGATACAAAAATTACGATAAATAATACGGTTCATTTTATAAATATTTATAAAAAAATCGTTATTCGAATAATTAAAAGAAGAGAGTCGCTAATTTGTGATTTAAAACATTTTTTTTTAAATTGAAACAACTGTAATGAAGGTATAGATAAAAGAACTATTATTAAACACGAAAACACGGAATGTTCCCAAAATATAGGACGGAGATATTAAGTACAAATATTACACGCTGTTTTGAAACTGAATGTTTACACTTAACTGTCCGGTTTTCAGACACAATAGCAAGACAATAGCAATGACCTACATATATATATAGTGCACGAGACAGCTAAAGGATTAATATTAGGTCTTTACCTATGAAATTGGCGTTTTGTTAAATAGGCAACATGTATGGTTTGTTGAGAACTTTAAATACAAATAATTTTTACATTTAAGACAGGTTATGGCTTTTTCTAATTCAGTTATTCATTTGTTACGTTGGGTTTTGTTTTTTCTTTAATATCGCTATATTTATAACCATGGATTCTAAGAAAATTTGTGTTATATTTGAATATAAGTTCCGCCGTTTGAAACAATGTGTCTCAAGCCGAACGCAATATCAATGACATACTCGTATACAAACCTAGCATTACTGTGGAGCGAACTGTGAGTTTCAATCGTTTTCGTCGGAAAGTTTTAATCTCAAAACGGAACCTCCGTGGCCGTCCAGAGAATGTTGATAATTACGAACTGAAGGCAATATTGGAAGCGGATCTGTCTCAAATTACGGCTAACCTAGCGTTGGCTTTTGATATAAAGACCTATTATTTGTGTGGCTATCCAATATAAAGACTAACAATTTGCTATTTTTATATATTTAATCTAACCCTGCTCATATCTTCATCTTGCTTCTCAAAAATCACTTTTTCATTTGAATATAGTTTATCTTGTATTGCAGCAAAAGATTGTCCCTTTGTTTCCGGAAGCAAAAGCAATATGAAAATAACACCACCCATAGATAACAAACCGAAACACCAAAACGCAACATAATTTCCTAAATTGTCTGCAATCACTTGGTAAAGCTTAGTGACAGCAAATGTCATTAGAGCTACAAATATTTGTATCACACATGTGGCTTTTGATTTAATATTAGTCGGAAATATTTCCGATGTGATAGCAAAAGGCACTGTAGCTAATCCTATTGTATAAGAAAATATAAATATAGGTATCACAACAATGGGAATAAAGCTTACATTTATTACTAATTCACTGTTTTTGTGTTTCATGAAAAAGTAGGCACCTATGATGATATTGGCTAGGCCAACACCACACGAGGACACTAATAATAGAGGCTTTCTTCCTAATCTATCGACTAGTTGAGAAGATATTGCGGATGTTAACAATTGCACCGTGCCAAATAATATGCACGATTCCTTAGCTCCTAGTCCACCTTCAGCAGCTCCGAATATTTGTTGCGCATATGCTATTATAGCAGTGCTACCACAGAACTGCTGTGTGAAATATATACCTAATAATATAATGAGTCCTTTTTTATTTCCTCCCACTGCGACAAGATCCTTCCATCTGCTTTTTTCCTTCATATTTTCATTCACTAGGTGTGTCATGCACTCTAATTCTTCTCTTATGTATCGTCTGCCCCGCAGTTTCTTTAAAGATAATTCAGCCAAATTTTTCCGCCCTGATTTTAAATAGTAGTATGGAGACTCTGGCATTGCACTAAATGTAACTACAAATAGTATTGGGATAGCGATATTGAAACTCGCTAGTCCAAGCATCGACACGTACGGCCCGATGCAGTACTGTGACAGGATACCAAACTGAAATTGAAAATATGCAAATTTATTAACTGAAAACATGTTCACCTTACTTCAGATAAAACCTGTTAGTTATGTTATTTATTAGTTAGCAAAATTTATCCAGCATATTTAGTAGTCTGGTACTGGTGGGGAAATGCTTAAAAATAAGTTTATGTGTCGTGAAGTAAGGACATATGCTAGGCACAGGCCTCCTCTAATTTTGAGAAGGTTTCAGGGGCAAGGAAAACTCCGCTGCTCTGTCCCAAAGCGTGTTGGCGAACTAAAATTTCTTTATATGACAAAAGTTATTTACATTTATATATATTTTACGTTGGGAGCACTAAGCTCGAAGTTGTTGACGAGTATGTTTACCTGGGACAAATAACATATAGCTCGAGGAACCGACAACCGATGGGGAAAAAAGGTTCTCGAGTGGCGGCCTCATACCGGTGGACGGAGTGTAGGGTGTCCCCCCACTAGATGGGAGTGACGACCTGGTAAGACATGCAGGAAGTCGATGGATGCAGGTGGCTCAGGACCGTGCTTTGTGGCATTCCTTGGGGGAGGCCTATGTTCAGTAGTGGACTTGTGATGCGCTGTAATGACGATGAGGATATTTATTTTACATTTAATTACTCGCTTTACCACATTTAATTATTCCTCAATAAAATAAAAACGTTGATATATATTAATTATTTTTAAACGACGTTGGAAAAACAGAAATTCTTGTAGTATGATTTTGATGTCCGTCCGTGTATTTATGTAAAATTTCCTTTTGTTCAGGAATGGCTTGAAGAATCAAATTAAAAGTAATAACCAAAAAAATCAAGTTCCTGCATCATCATCATTAACATCTTTAATACAGCCGTTCAAGGTGAATAAAAATATTTCTGTAATTACATATATAAAAAATGTCTAAAAAAATTCTTAAATAAAATGTTTGGTCTCTGATACGATAAATACTCGTACGAGTACATAGAAATATTATCTTGAAGTCTTGCAATGGTAAGCTTTGGTTAGGATTTTTGTAAATTATAACTCACAACAAAATGAATGTGCCAACAGTGTTACTTACTTAGCTTGTCGTAAAAGGGACTAACAGGATATTTGGTTTGTGAATGTGTAGGCGATGGGCTAGACCGTAGACCTGTCACTTCTTTCACAATTTTCAATGTATTCTTATTTTTTTTACTATATATGTTCCGAGTGCAGAAACCCATTCTTCACGTATATAAACTAATCTAAGCCACGTTGTTTATTTTTGTGTCTTATTATTTATTATTTTTAACTATTTTCATACGCGATTAATAAAATACGATACAGATAAACTTATTCTTACCTTTGACATAACAGTGATGAGGGTGGTCATTGCACCACGAACCTCATTGGATGCGATTTCTCCCAAGTACATTGGGGCGGCAGTGTAGGCGATACCGTAACCAAGGCCAGAGATAAGCCGTGATACATAAATTGTTGGTATGTTGCCGGCGAGCATTACCATAATCCAACCGATTATATATGGAATTGCCGCTAATAGAAGAGTCTTCTTTGTTCCTATTCTATCTGCAAGGTATGACGCAGGAATAGGGCTGGCCGCTGAAATAAAAATTGAGCATATTAATTTTGAAATATTACCTATATAGGCAAGTAAGTGTGACAAACGAGCACACAGTCCACCTTCTTCTTCATCTTCGATTAAGATTCAAAATGCAGATGCGTTGTCACCCGTGAGGACTAAGATGGAATGCCTCGTTTCCATTAAAAAGGGTCTCCGGTTCTCTACACTCACCAAACGAAACATAGCAGCGTTAAGCTGCTATTTTACGCTGGTATTCTGTGAGAGCGTGGTCCTTCCCCGGTCGAGCCGACCCATTTGTGCTACAACCATAATATAGCTGCAGCATGGCTCTACCACGTATATGAAAAAATCGGTTGATCGTAGAAGGGTGAAAATTTGAAGTTTTATATATTTTTCAATGCTTTATTATAATAAAATTTAAAATTAAAACTTTTGTCAAAAAAATAAAAAAATATTTAGGGGTGGGTCACCCTTATCTTTTAGGGGTTTGAAAAAAAGATGTTGACCAATTCTCAGACCTACCCGATATGCACACAAAATTTTATACAAATCGGTTCAGCCGTTTCGGAGGAGTTTGGGAACAAACACCGCGACACGAGAATTTTATATATTAAGATTTTGCTTGAAAGTACTAAATTATTGAAAGTGTAAAGAAATTCACTTATCGAATACTATGCTATCTATTCGCAGATGACATTCCTGTAATAAAGGGTGTAAAACATATTGGTGTATTTTATCTATACATTACTGATATTATTTCCATCGCCGAAATACAACTTACATGCGACAAAACACAAGGTTGGACAAAAGTATTTGATTTAGAATTAAGACAGCAATATATGTTTACAAAATACACATCAAAGCAAATATCGAAGCGTTAAAGGAATTTATTTCAGCCAGTGAAAGCTCCTAAAATACTTTCGTAAAACTAAATAATATCCTACATAAACATTTACAAATCATTTGATAAAAAGAGACATGTTTGTGATGGGTTTAGCCATCATATTTTTTTAATATAGAATAAGGGTAAAAACGTGCACACAGTCCAATCAACAGTCAATTTTAGTGTATTAATTAAATGAAAAGAATATTTTGTATCAAAACAATTTTATATTTACCTGAGCAAAGTATCATGAGTGACGCGATCCATGAGCTCTGATCGGCTGAGGTCTGTATGGGGGAATTTTTTGACAGTAGAATAGGCAAAGTCGGCGAGGTCCAGCCCACCGTGGTTCCAGCCGCCGCCGTGATCAGCGTCGCTGAAAGGTTCGAGTTGCTAATGTTGAATTTGTTTACAAACTGCAATTATTCATACAATTTAGTTTCGTAAGTGTGAAGTCCGCATATACGCAGCACGGTGAATGTATTGCTCCTGAAACGAGACCTGTAGCACAAAATGAATAATAGTACCACGTACAGAAGATACACTCTTTTGATGTTGACTGCTTGCCGACGTTTTAATAGCTTACATAATTATTAATAATGAAATAAATCGCGCATGCAAGCTAAATAAAACTATCGCTGCGCTGGAGTGTCCGTATTGCTTTACATCTTTTCCCCTTTCTACGTCACGGTGGACGGAGAGTCCAGGTTACTCAGAGCTGTCAATAAAGAGTAAAAAAATAGATTGCGAAATGGTAAGTAAGTTACTTAGGTAAAGTACCTACTCTGATTATTATCGACTGATCATATACTTATTATCTTATAAGAGAAGATAACTGATATTTTCGCTAATATGTGAGTTCGCGAGTAGCCGAGTATCGCAATGCTTGGCTCTGAAGAAATAGGTAGATAGTGTAAACAACAAAAACATCTGAAATACGATTCCTAACAGAAATGTGATCGTATTCTACTTAGTTAAAAATCTTGTAAACAAAGTTTTAATTTCAGTATTTTGTGTTATTTTTATTTGTGTTATAACTTAAAATATTTTAATTACAAAAGACAAGTATAGGCTGTATGTAAGTAGGCACCTACTTGGATAGTGAAGTAAACTAAGTTTTGTAATAAAGTACTTACTAATTATCACATTGGAATCTTAAACACCTCAGTCCCCCCCCCCCCCTGCTCCCACGTAATCACAAAACGTCAAATAGTTGAAATTAAACGCGAAAAACTCAGTTAATTTGTCCTTATCTTCTGATCATTTAATGGCGGTTTGAAACAAAAATGCGTTGTATTATCAGGAACTTAAACAATTTTCCTATGATCTGTACATATGAAATATTTTTTTATCTTTTGTACAAATAATGTAAATTGCATGTGACTGTATATTGTATATATTTTGTGACAAAATGATTGATAGGGACTAAAAATAAATAATTAAATACATTTCTATAATTTTTAGAATTGCCTGTCTGTCTGTCTGTTTATTTATGAACGCATCAGGTCTAAAGTACTGATATTTTTCAAAATAATTGTTCAGAAAATCATAAAACGCATCTTCAAGCTACATATTATAGTCTTTATTTTATTAAAATCGGCGTATTCTATCAAAATTAATGATTAATATTCTGAAGAATAGGTACGAATTTCTTCAATGGTGGCGTTGAGAAATCGAGTCCATTTTAATCTAATCTCAGAAATCGTAATTAAATGATGTAAAATAATGATTTATAATGACATACTTATCTTCAAAACATGGTATACAAAAAAAAGGATATGTTCTCACACAGATATTTAGGTTAATCAATCCATACCGTCTTTTTTTTTATTGGAAAAGGGAAAATTTCATCGCGCTGCCATGCTAACGTGTTGAGGAATTCATTTATTTTCTTAGTTTTTAAAATTTAGGTTTAGTCATAATGTTTTCCTTCCCCTCCGACAACGTCGTACATCAAATTTTAAAAGTGTTATTAACGATAATTTCAGCGAAGAACGAACTTTGGCTTTTCACGTATTATGCTGGGATACTTATTTCTTGAGCTACCACGCACTCCTTCTTTTATTAATCTGCCTACAATTAATGAATCGCATCGAAATGTTTGATTTCTATTTTTAAGAATTAGTGATAATAGCGCCTTCATTAACTATTAATAATCTATTTTTTATTATGTTTGTATAAAATTATTGTAAATCGTCCTGATTCTGACTATAAGAAACTGACTGAAATGAACTCCTGTTTAAATGTTACTTTTATATTGCTTATTATGCAGAAATTAAATTGAAATTTCTGACTACCAATTTTTAGAGTTCATTACTTTTATTATGAAACCAAAAAAAAAATTACCTTATATACTTTTAGGATGTTACTTAGTTGTAAGGAAGTTGTAATGACGTTGTACTTTATTAATGTATATTGTTATTTGATAAAGTAACACTTTAAAGTCGAAAACACAATTTTTTTTAACACAAGTCTTATATTTTTCTTTTAAAACATTACATACATGTATTGACAGACTTTTTGTATAAAAACATCGCTTTTTTAAATTTATTTAGCCGTAGTTTTAGTTTGTTTTTATTAATGTTCTTTTAACATTTACCGACAGGTGTCACTGTTCACTTTTAATAATTATACCTCTAATCTTTGCAATGACACTCCTCAAATTAGTTATTACTTAAAAAACCTGGTAGACACAGATATTGCCAACGATTATAGTCTCAATGGTGTGTTTTATGTCACAATGCGTTTAAAACAAAACTCCTTAAATTTTTACCCTTTACCTCGCGTGGGTGTCGTAAAAGGCTACAGAGGGAAACTGAAACAGGAGATCGGCAGGAGCATGTTTCTGATAACAATTCAAAATTATAAAAAAACTGCGGTTGCCATCTCGCCTGCAGAGCAATCTAAGCGAGGCCTATATCCAGCAATAGACTTTGATAAGCTGTAATGGATGGTACCACCCACAACTTTGCAAGAACAATAAATAACACGACTTGTAGGAGCGGATTTATAATTTGGATGGGTCCTGTCTTACTGAGGACTTTTGTCGCATTATTTTATCAGCCAAAATGTCAAAAGAATTATCTATCCTTCTTCTTCTTCTTCATTACCAGCCTGTAAAAGTCTACTGCAAGATATGGGCCTCTCCCAATGTAGTGGTGATTTGCCATTGTTGTCACGGTTAGCAGGCAGATCGACGATCGCAATACAAGACTTATTGCACCTTTGACGTTGCTGCCCGTAGCCGGTCTGGGTATTTTGTGTCTGCTCTTTTTTTGTACCTCAATGTTGCTCTGACGTAACTTAGATTTTTCAAGCCTTTCCTATAGTCACCTCTTACTACTTTCCCAGAACGTAACGGTGTGATGGATTCACTTACGTCCCCACTACACGCTACACGGCAAACGAGTTATCGTTCCCTCCTTATCATTGAAGCTTGCAATGCAAGAATGTATTTATAAATTATAGTAATTGTTTCGCTCTTTTTTATTTAGTTTTATTTTAAATATTATATTGAACGAATACGCCACTGTGTTAAAGAAATCCGTAGTGTCGTTGAAAAAATATTTCAAATATTTGAAACAAATATACATTACTAACAAATATTCTAAGCGAACGAAGTCGCGGGCACAGCTAGTTTCTAATAATATATTATCATCATTTATGGAGTTTAATCAAATAATCTAAGATAATAAGTATATCAGTAAGATCCAAGAGACAATGAAGACACTGTGTGGCAACTACGTAACACGTCTACCTATTGACATATTGCTAATACAAGTAAACAAGAACTTACCTATTACAGTACACAATAAAAGCACTGTGGCCATGGCAACACTGCTACAGCGTCATGCTACGTAGTAATAATATATTATATTTTTTGATAATGCAAAGTCCTTTTCGCTGCAAATTTTGTACGTCATGATGAGTATGACTAGTAATTAATTAATTGGGTAATTCATAAAGTAATTGAGGACAATGATTTCGGTGATAGAATACGTCCGTAGCCATTTTATAATACATTAGGCAATTATTTTAATTATTAGATTACATACAAAACACTTATTCATCGACTGCCTGGTAGGTCTAGTGATCGTAAGCGCGACTGCTGATCATGAAGTCCTGGGTTAGATTCCCGGGTTGGGCCAAAAAAATCAACTATTGGTTTTTCTTTATAGAATAAGCATCACACAACACAATACAATACAACACGAGCACACAGACGCGCCTGATGATAAGTGGATGCTGGGGTCCACAGACATCTACAGCTATCCTCGATTAAGAATCAAAATGCAGATGCGTTGTCACCCCTGAGGACTAAGACGGAATGCCTCGTTTCCAGTAAAAAGGGCCTCCGGTTATCTACACTCACCAACTCCACCATACGAAACACTCAGCATTGAGGCCGTGTTTCGGAAAGCACTTAAGCCGTTGGTTCAGCGCCTGTCTTTTTTCGGTTGTGTGATTGGGACTATGAGAGAGATGGAATAGAGAATGCACCTGAGCTTGCGTAACCACTCTTGTAATGCTTTTCTGCGCAGATCTCCGTTGAGACTGGCTGCTGTGACTGAAATTCGGTTTGGAGGACATTATCATTTTAAATATGTATGTGGTATGCATACATGCTACAGGTGACATGGTAATTTTTAGATTAAAGACAGGTTAATGCAATATCAAATTTTTATTTAAAACATCTGCTGCTCGTCACATGTCTCTTATTTTTTTACGAGGAAGTGGAGGTATTCGCCTCGCTGGTTGACTGATTTTACATATACGTACGCAAAATATGTTTTAGTTTTTGTGACTTGCGCTTTTTTAATAATCATACCTCCATAAATCGCGGCACGTAAGTCTAGCGCTGAATGAAACGTGGAGGGGATAGCTACACATGGGCACTGTCGCGCACGTATTACGTATCAGTACGGGAGACGGAATGCGACTGGAGAGCCAATCAGCACGTGCGAACGATACGCACGCCCGCCCTGCGACCCGCTTACTACACCATGACACCTTATTTTCGGCTTATGCGCAATAACGGTCTCCGCTAGACTTACGTGCCGCGAATTATACATGGTAAAGTAGCACTTAAAATTGTAATTCATTGGGTATGGTATGGTTGGTTTAAAAACTATTTGTTGTTATGTAGTTGCATAATCCGTAAATTTTATTAATTCATAAATTGAAATTATTAAATTTTGCGGTTATATTTTCGCATAGCCGTGAAATTTGATTAATTTGTATTACGTACGTTGTTGAAAAATAAAAGTATATATTTATTAAATATTCAATAGAGAAATTATTTGATGGAGAGTTTGCACGCAGCGCTGCTTCAGTGTATCATAGTGGGATTTCACGTATCATGTTCTTGTTTTTGAA